TGTATTTAAAATAAACAAACACAAATAAATAAATAAATAATATAAATGTCATAAATAATAAGGTCCCAATAAGGCCCCATTACTGCATTAACTAACATTAATTAACAACGAGGAATACATTTGTTACAATACTTATTGATCTTTGTTAACGTTAGTAACGTTAACGTTAGTTAAAAATAGAATTGTTAGGTAATGTTAGCTCAGGTCCACTAGATAATATTAACATATACAAACCTTTGACTTCAATAATGTATTAGTAAATGTTCAAATTAACATTAACAAAGATTAATAAATGCTCTAGAAGTATTTGTCATTGTTAGTTCATGCTATTGCTAAATAATGTGGTGCAGTAATATTAACAAATGGAATCCTACTGTAAAGTGTAATCAATACTTTTCATTTATATTACTATAATTAGTTATATTAATATAATTAATTATATTACTATTATAATTTATATTAGCAGCAATGCATTAAAAATGTCAGAGTGCAATGTCTCTCACCTTCCTCTGGACTCATGAACTCGAAGAGCTCGGGACAGTTGACCTCCACGACCTTGCCGACACTGGCTGCCTGCCAGCAGGTCAGATTGTCCCACTCCCACGGACACTCTGAAAACAACCCCACCAAACTCACATTAGTACACCTCACATCTCACAGCAGCTAGTTAGGTTTGTCTTGCTGGGACTATTACAGAGATTTGAGGCCTGTTTGTTTCGGACAGTTACTATGCTATTATTTGAACTTCCTTAGAGTGCCAAGTAAATAGCATGGCATAGAATTAAAATAATAATGCAAAAGCATATATAATAGATATTGAAATATCATGGTATTGCCAACTGAAACAGTATCTGTGCCACAACATAACTTCATACAATGGAACAGCACCGATATAATATCCTCCTTTGCATATAAAACTAAATCTCATAAAGCCAAATTACATCTGGACTCATGACACTATAACAGATGTCTCCATTTAATTCTCAATTATACTAAGATTAGCCCGCGAGAGGACACCAAGGTGAGCGTGACTGTGACCAGCAGGGGGCGTCAGCAGCGGTTCCTGCCCGAGGACTTCAACATGATCAATAGGTGATATGGATCAAAATCCATCATTTTCACAATTGCATTTGACTCCTCGTTTCCCTCAGCTCATTACAGAAATGATTCTGGAATTAATTACAGAAATGACTCTCACTGAATCTGGTGGCAACCAGCAAAATAATGCAAAAGATGAATAAAAGAATGTGGAGATACCTGATAGTGTCAGAACATCGACAACAGATTTTGGAATGAATTGTGGGCAGATTTAGAGTTCAGATGTGTCTATTTCTGACCATCATAACTGTCAGATACATTCATTTATTCTTCTGTAAACAGTTTAGTTTTACTGATAATAAAAATCAAGAATGAAACAATTCTATTTCAACTGTAGACAGCAAATGGAAGCTTCAGAGTTTTAGAAGAAATATTATTGTCTTCAACTATGCTCAGAGACTAAAGTCCGGGATCTGACCACATTAAAAACAAATAAATAAATACTACATAGATTCAATAAATAATTCTGTAAATAAATAAATACATAAATAAATAACATAGTCTCAATATGAACACTGTAAATAAATAAATAAATATTATCCAGTCTCTCCTCCTGCTCTACACTCTAGGAGATGGACGTTTCCAAACTTATCCTTTCCAATCATCCTACTACTTGTCCACTTGATCCTATCCCCACTCACCTCCTTCAGGCCATTTCTTCTTCAGTCATACCTTCGCTTACTCACATTATCAACACCTCTCTTCACACTGGTACATTTCCCACAGCATTTAAGCAGGCTCGGGTAACCCCACTGCTTAAAAA